CGACTCACTACACGTTTGAGTCGACTCAAAAATCGACTCACTACACGCCAATTGGGTAGTCCTTGGCTTTGTGGTGCTGTGGTAGGCATCATGTTTTCGATTTTTGAGTCGACTCAAAAATCGACTCACTACACGTTTGAGTCGACTCAAAAATCGACTCACTACACGTTTGAGTCGACTCAAAAATCGACTCACTACACGCCAATTGGGTAGTCCTTGGCTTTGTGGTGCTGTGGTAGGCATCATGTTTTCGATTTTTGAGTCGACTCAAAAATCGACTCACTACACGTTTGAGTCGACTCAAAAATCGACTCACTACACGTTTGAGTCGACTCAAAAATCGACTCACTACACGTTTGAGTCGACTCAAAAATCGACTCACTACACGTTTGAGTCGACTCAAAAATCGACTCACTACACGCCAATTGGGTAGTCCTTGGCTTTGTGGTGCTGTGGTAGGCATCATGTTTTCGATTTTTGAGTCGACTCAAAAATCGACTCACTACACGTTTGAGTCGACTCAAAAATCGACTCACTACACGTTTGAGTCGACTCAAAAATCGACACACTACACGTTTGAGTCGACTCAAAAATCGACTCACTACACGTTTGAGTCGACTCAAAAATCGACTCACTACACGCCAATTGGGTAGTCCTTGGCTTTGTGGTGCTGTGGTAGGCATCATGTTTTCGATTTTTGAGTCGACTCAAAAATCGACTCACTACACGTTTGAGTCGACTCAAAAATCGACTCACTACACGTTTGAGTCGACTCAAAAATCGACTCACTACACGTTTGAGTCGACTCAAAAATCGACTCACTACACGTTTGAGTCGACTCAAAAATCGACTCACTACACGTTTGAGTCGACTCAAAAATCGACTCACTACACGTTTGAGTCGACTCAAAAATCGACTCACTACACGTTTGAGTCGACTCAAAAATCGACTCACTACACGCCAATTGGGTAGTCCTTGGCTTTGTGGTGCTGTGGTAGGCATCATGTTTTCGATTTTTGAGTCGACTCAAAAATCGACTCACTACACGTTTGAGTCGACTCAAAAATCGACTCACTACACGTTTGAGTCGACTCAAAAATCGACACACTACACGTTTGAGTCGACTCAAAAATCGACTCACTACACGTTTGAGTCGACTCAAAAATCGACTCACTACACGCCAATTGGGTAGTCCTTGGCTTTGTGGTGCTGTGGTAGGCATCATGTTTTCGATTTTTGAGTCGACTCAAAAATCGACTCACTACACGTTTGAGTCGACTCAAAAATCGACTCACTACACGTTTGAGTCGACTCAAAAATCGACTCACTACACGTTTGAGTCGACTCAAAAATCGACTCACTACACGTTTGAGTCGACTCAAAAATCGACTCACTACACGTTTGAGTCGACTCAAAAATCGACTCACTACACGTTTGAGTCGACTCAAAAATCGACTCACTACACGTTTGAGTCGACTCAAAAATCGACTCACTACACGCCAATTGGGTAGTCCTTGGCTTTGTGGTGCTGTGGTAGGCATCATGTTTTCGATTTTTGAGTCGACTCAAAAATCGACTCACTACACGTTTGAGTCGACTCAAAAATCGACTCACTACACGTTTGAGTCGACTCAAAAATCGACTCACTACACGTTTGAGTCGACTCAAAAATCGACTCACTACACGTTTGAGTCGACTCAAAAATCGACTCACTACACGCCAATTGGGTAGTCCTTGGCTTTGTGGTGCTGTGGTAGGCATCATGTTTTCGATTTTTGAGTCGACTCAAAAATCGACTCACTACACGTTTGAGTCGACTCAAAAATCGACTCACTACACGTTTGAGTCGACTCAAAAATCGACTCACTACACGTTTGAGTCGACTCAAAAATCGACTCACTACACGTTTGAGTCGACTCAAAAATCGACTCACTACACGCCAATTGGGTAGTCCTTGGCTTTGTGGTGCTGTGGTAGGCATCATGTTTTCGATTTTTGAGTCGACTCAAAAATCGACTCACTACACGTTTGAGTCGACTCAAAAATCGACTCACTACACGTTTGAGTCGACTCAAAAATCGACTCACTACACGCCAATTGGGTAGTCCTTGGCTTTGTGGTGCTGTGGTAGGCATCATGTTTTCGATTTTTGAGTCGACTCAAAAATCGACTCACTACACGTTTGAGTCGACTCAAAAATCGACTCACTACACGTTTGAGTCGACTCAAAAATCGACTCACTACACGCCAATTGGGTAGTCCTTGGCTTTGTGGTGCTGTGGTAGGCATCATGTTTTCGATTTTTGAGTCGACTCAAAAATCGACTCACTACACGTTTGAGTCGACTCAAAAATCGACTCACTACACGTTTGAGTCGACTCAAAAATCGACTCACTACACGCCAATTGGGTAGTCCTTGGCTTTGTGGTGCTGTGGTAGGCATCATGTTTTCGATTTTTGAGTCGACTCAAAAATCGACTCACTACACGTTTGAGTCGACTCAAAAATCGACTCACTACACGTTTGAGTCGACTCAAAAATCGACTCACTACACGTTTGAGTCGACTCAAAAATCGACTCACTACACGTTTGAGTCGACTCAAAAATCGACTCACTACACGCCAATTGGGTAGTCCTTGGCTTTGTGGTGCTGTGGTAGGCATCATGTTTTCGATTTTTGAGTCGACTCAAAAATCGACTCACTACACGTTTGAGTCGACTCAAAAATCGACTCACTACACGTTTGAGTCGACTCAAAAATCGACTCACTACACGTTTGAGTCGACTCAAAAATCGACTCACTACACGTTTGAGTCGACTCAAAAATCGACTCACTACACGCCAATTGGGTAGTCCTTGGCTTTGTGGTGCTGTGGTAGGCATCATGTTTTCGATTTTTGAGTCGACTCAAAAATCGACTCACTACACGTTTGAGTCGACTCAAAAATCGACTCACTACACGTTTGAGTCGACTCAAAAATCGACTCACTACACGCCAATTGGGTAGTCCTTGGCTTTGTGGTGCTGTGGTAGGCATCATGTTTTCGATTTTTGAGTCGACTCAAAAATCGACTCACTACACGTTTGAGTCGACTCAAAAATCGACTCACTACACGTTTGAGTCGACTCAAAAATCGACTCACTACACGTTTGAGTCGACTCAAAAATCGACTCACTACACGTTTGAGTCGACTCAAAAATCGACTCACTACACGCCAATTGGGTAGTCCTTGGCTTTGTGGTGCTGTGGTAGGCATCATGTTTTCGATTTTTGAGTCGACTCAAAAATCGACTCACTACACGTTTGAGTCGACTCAAAAATCGACTCACTACACGTTTGAGTCGACTCAAAAATCGACTCACTACACGTTTGAGTCGACTCAAAAATCGACTCACTACACGTTTGAGTCGACTCAAAAATCGACTCACTACACGCCAATTGGGTAGTCCTTGGCTTTGTGGTGCTGTGGTAGGCATCATGTTTTCGATTTTTGAGTCGACTCAAAAATCGACTCACTACACGTTTGAGTCGACTCAAAAATCGACTCACTACACGTTTGAGTCGACTCAAAAATCGACTCACTACACGTTTGAGTCGACTCAAAAATCGACTCACTACACGTTTGAGTCGACTCAAAAATCGACTCACTACACGTTTGAGTCGACTCAAAAATCGACTCACTACACGTTTGAGTCGACTCAAAAATCGACTCACTACACGTTTGAGTCGACTCAAAAATCGACTCACTACACGCCAATTGGGTAGTCCTTGGCTTTGTGGTGCTGTGGTAGGCATCATGTTTTCGATTTTTGAGTCGACTCAAAAATCGACTCACTACACGTTTGAGTCGACTCAAAAATCGACTCACTACACGTTTGAGTCGACTCAAAAATCGACTCACTACACGTTTGAGTCGACTCAAAAATCGACTCACTACACGTTTGAGTCGACTCAAAAATCGACTCACTACACGTTTGAGTCGACTCAAAAATCGACTCACTACACGTTTGAGTCGACTCAAAAATCGACTCACTACACGTTTGAGTCGACTCAAAAATCGACTCACTACACGCCAATTGGGTAGTCCTTGGCTTTGTGGTGCTGTGGTAGGCATCATGTTTTCGATTTTTGAGTCGACTCAAAAATCGACTCACTACACGTTTGAGTCGACTCAAAAATCGACTCACTACACGTTTGAGTCGACTCAAAAATCGACTCACTACACGTTTGAGTCGACTCAAAAATCGACTCACTACACGTTTGAGTCGACTCAAAAATCGACTCACTACACGTTTGAGTCGACTCAAAAATCGACTCACTACACGTTTGAGTCGACTCAAAAATCGACTCACTACACGTTTGAGTCGACTCAAAAATCGACTCACTACACGTTTGAGTCGACTCAAAAATCGACTCACTACACGCCAATTGGGTAGTCCTTGGCTTTGTGGTGCTGTGGTAGGCATCATGCTTTTCATCCTGCTTGCAAAGTCGTTTTATCTTGAATAGTTCGTATACTTCAGTTCACTGACCTGCTTTTTTTGCTTCAGAGGAGATTCATCTGATGTTGGGTGGGATGGGGTGGAAGTTGGGACTCGTTGGCATGTGTAAACGGGTAAATTGAGAACAGAGAGCAGAAGGGTTACCTGCGCAGCCACTGCTGTGCTTCAGAAAGCAACTTCAGGTATGATCTTCAGAGGTCCGAAAAGCAGGAGGAGAAAAGAGGGACAGACGGGGAGTATGACCTTCAGAGGTCCGAGAGCGCAGCCGCTGCTGTGCTTCAGAGAGCAGGTCCGAGGAGCAAGAGGAGAAGGAGGGGAGTGTGTAAGGCAGGCAGGCAGGGAAGAAGGGGGCAAGGCAAGAGTACCTGCGCAGCCGCTGCTGTGCAGAAGGTCCGAACCCCAGAGGTCAGAGGAGCAGGAGGGGGAGGAGGGGAGTGTGTCAGCGGCCAGAGAAGGAGGAGGGGAAGCAGACAGAGAAGAAGGGGGCGAGAGTGTACCTGCGCAGCCGCTGCTGTGCTTCAGAGAGCAGGTCCGAGCCCCAGAGGTCCGAGGAGCAAGCGGGGAAGGAGGGGAGGCTTGCGTTGCTGCTTTTCTCTTGCACGGGAGAGCATGCCACCTGTGCAGGATGGACAATAGACGATGAGGGTGGAGGGAAAGGGTGGGTACTGTTTGAGTTAACAAAAGGCAGAAACAGAGCGCACAGCAAGGTAATTTGGTGGGTACCCGTTTAATTCGACTTAAAAAAGCAGTTGTAAAACCAGATAGGACTGTTGTTGTACCGAGGTGACTTTCGAGTCGACTCAAAAGTCACCTAGATAGGAATGTATCCATACGTACCTTGGCAAAGAGTGCTTCCATGACTTGCCCCAGGGTCATGCGGGAGGGCAGCAGCTTACGGCCAAAAAGGCAACACGAGCTATCAGTGCAGTGTGGTGCTGTGCGGTGCTGGATGGTGCTGTCCATACGTACCTTAGCGAAGAGTGCTTCCATGACTTTCCCCAGTGTCATGCGGGAGGGCAGCACGTGTGGGTTGATCACTGCTCCCAATGCTGTATGTGCGGTGCAATGCGGTGCAGTGAGGTGCAGGCCGGCGCTGTCCCTACCTCGGCAGAGAGTGCTTCCATGACTTGCCCCAGTGTCATGCAGGAGGGCAGCACGTGTGGATTGATCATCAAATCCGGCGCTCCCACTGCTGTAGGTGCACCAGCAGCAGCACTGGCAGCAGCACTGGCAGCACCAGCACCAGCAGCAGCACCAGCAGCAGCACTGGCAGCACCAGGGGCTTTAAGAGAGGAACTGATTCTGGCAACGCCGTCGAACCAGGACAGGTCGTGGGAGGGCAGCACACGCCCAATGACCCCCTTCTGCCCGTGCCGGCTTGTCAGCTTGTCCCCCACCTCCGGGCGCAGCGTGGCATGCAGACGAACCTGGGGAGGAGAGAGGAATGGGGCGAGATTTTATGAGAGTTTATGCAGACAGTCATCCCCCCAGACTCACTCTGTGCGTGAGTGGTACTTCAGCTGCCCAGCCATACCCAGAGACGAGACTCACCCTGCCCAGCCGCACGCCGTGACTGTCCGTGTCCACGCGAGCAGCATCCACGATCCCGAGGAAAGGGAACGAACGAGTGGGAGAGTTTGGTGTTAAGAAGGCAAACAGACCAGACACATCAGGCAATCACTCACCCTGCCCAGGCGCACACCGTGACTGTCCACGTCCATGCGAGCAGCATCCACTATGCCGCCTCCACCTTCCACCTGAGACACCATCAGATTACGCACTTTCTCCTCTTCCCCTGTGGCAGTGAGGCGGGGCGGCTGGAAGGGAGGAGAAGAGAAGGAAACGGTAGGGATAATGGAAAAGGGGCAGATGCGGGGTGAGGAGGTGACATGCAAGCAGCACCCACTATCCCGCCTCCCCCTTCCACCTGTGACACCATGAGACTACGCACTTTCTCGTCCTCCCCTGTGGCCGTTAACCGGGGCAGCTGGAATGAGAAGGGAGGGAACAGGCACGGAGAGACACGATGTTTATGCAAAGGGAGCAGCCTCCTCCCTCCAACCTGAGACACCAGCCGAAAAAGGCTGGCACTTGGCCGCTCCCTCCCTCCAAGTTCCTTCTGGCACTTGGCCGATGAGAAAGGCTCTCTCCTCCTTCTCTCCTTCCTCTCTCCTTCCTCTCTCCTTCCTCTCTCCTTCCTCTCTCCTTCCCTGCAAGCACTGCTTGATACTTGAGACGACTCAAAGATGCCTAGATTCTAGTCTGGATATTCATTCACACTCACCCAAGCAGAAAAATACAACTCAAACAGCCGCAATATGGCCGATCAGAATGGCTCTCTCTTTCCCCCCAAATACTGCTCTGTATGCCTATGTCTGGATCACTGCTCTGTATGCCTATGTCTGGATCACTGCTCTGTATGCCTATGCACGCATGCAGGGGAGAGAGGCGCCTCAAAAAGCATGCCTATGTACTCAGCCCATTTTTTAGGCGCCTCTCTCCCCTGCCGCCACGTGGCACTCAGCCCAGCAAAAACGATTTTTGAGGCGCCTCAAAAAGCATGCCTATGCACTCAGCCCAGCAAAAACGTTTACTCACCCCTGCCGCCACGTGGCCAATCAGAATGGCTCTCTCCATCCCTCCAAACACACCTCGATCTTTGAGGCGTCTCTCAACTCAAGCCCCCTGCAACCCTCAAACACTCACCCGTGCCGCCACATGACCGATGAGAACGGCTCTCTCCCTCCCTCCAAACACCGGTCGATGCTCGAGTCAAACTTAATCAAACCTCAATCTCTGCACTCTCACTCACTCACTCATCCCAGCAGCAAACCTCTTAGACTCACCCCAGCCGCCATATGACCGATGAGAATGGCTCTCTCCCTCCCTCCAAATACACTCCATTTTTGAGACATCTCAAAAGCCTCCTGCAACCCTCAAACACTCACCCCTGCCGCCACATGACCGATAAGAATGGCTCTCTCCCTCCCCCCAAACACACCCCGATCCGCCACACTCCTCCCCCACACCCCCGCGCTCCCTCCCCCCACACCCGAGCTACAGTAAACCCTAATCCCTGCCGCCTTCTCTCCTGTTGCCCCCTCCACTGTGCCTGTCCCCCCTGCCCTTGCTCCCCCAACCTCCTCTCCTGTCCCACCTCCCCCATTTCCCATCCCCCCTCCCCCATCTCCCATCCCCGTTCCCCCATCGCCCATCCCCCCTCCCCCGTCGCCTGTGCCCCCCCCAACCACTTCTCCCGGCCACAGCAACGGATGGCCCACTTTTGGAAGCCCATTCTCCCCCAGATGGTCCCACTGTGACCATCTCTTAGGCCTCTCCTGCCGCTCCCTGTGATGATCTCGGCCCCCTCTCCTTCCGCCTCTGCCTCCCCGAAATTCTCTGTCTCCCCTTCCCCTCCCCCTGCCCCTGCCCCTGCCTCTTTCGCTTCCCCCCAAGCTTCTCCCCTCTTCATCTGCCCCATCTCCCCCCCATCCGCCTCCCCCTCCTCCCCCCCATCGGTTCCCCCCATCTCTATCTTCCCTGAACCCACGCTTTCCTCCCCCTCCACCTTCCCCTTCTCCACCTTCCCCCCATCCGCCTCCCCCTCCTCCCCCCCATCCACCTCCCCCCGATCCGCCTCCCCCCCATCCAGCCCGCCCTCCTCCATCGCCCCCCCCATCCCCTTTCTCCCTGTCTCCCCACGAATCGTTTCCCCTCCCCCTTCCCCTTCCCCTCCCGCGACCCCTCCCCCTTCCTCCCCTCCCCCTCCACCCCCTTTCCCCCTGTCCGCCCTCGTCTCCCCCGTCCTCTCTACCTCTCCACACATCCCCACCTCCTCTTCCACCTCCCCACCCATCCCCACCATCCCCACCACCCCCTCCTCTTTCCCACCCGTCCTCTCCATCTCTTGTGTTCCCAGCAGCCCCATCACCCTCACTTTGCCCTCTCTTCTTACCCCAACCTCCCCCGCCCCACCCTCCTCCCCCTTCCCCACCTCCTCCCCATCCCCCCCCTCCACCACCTCCTCCCCATCCCCCTCCCGCCCCACTCCCACCAGCACCAGCGGCAGCATCACCATCACCCCAACCACCCCCACCATCACCATCACCACCATCACTCGCACCACCCCAACCACCCCCACCATCACCAGCAGCAGCATCAGCACCACCCCAACCACTCCCACCCTCACCAGCAGCACTACCACCAGCGCCACCAGCAGCAGCATCACCTGCAGCAGCAGCACCACTCCAACCACCCGCACCATCACCAGCGGCAGCATCACCACCCCAACCACTCCCACGAGCACCACCGTTACCAGCAGCACCATCACCACCGTTACCAGCAGCACCATCACCACCGTTACCAGCAGCACCATCACCACCGTTACCAGCAGCACCATCACCACCGTTACCAGCAGCACCATCACCACCGTTACCAGCAGCACCATCACCACCGTTACCAGCAGCACCATCACCACCGTTACCAGCAGCACCATCACCACCGTTACCAGCAGCACCATCACCACCGTTACCAGCAGCACCATCACCACCGTTACCAGCAGCACCACCACCCCAACCACCCCCACCCTCACCAGCAGCAGCACCACCAGCGGCAGCATCACCCGCACCACCCCAACCATTCCCACCATCACCAGCGGCAGCACCACCACCCCAACCACCCCCACCACCAGCACCATCAGCATCAGCATCAGCGGTTCCCCACCCGCCACGACTAGTACCACCACCACTACCAGCACCCCACCCTCCTCCCCCTCCTCCTCCCCTTCCTTCCCTTCCTCCCTCTCCCTCCTCTCCTCCCCCTCCCCCCCGTCCTCCCTCTCCTTCCCCTCGGTCCCATCCCCCACTGCCATTCAATTCACCACCCTCGTCCCCCTCCTTGTCACTTGCACCCCACCCCCCTGCTGCTGCTGCTGCTCCTCCTCCCTCTCTTCCTCTATCCTCCTCACCTCCACCCCCCTCAGCCCAACCACCCCCACCACCAGCATCAGCAGCACCACTCCCCCACCCACCACCACGACCAGCAACACCAGAAGTATCAGCACCAGTGGCATCAGCAGCAGCACCATTACCAGCGCCACTAGCGCCAGCAGCAGCACCCCACCCTCCTCCTCCTTTTCCACTACCATTCGACCCACCACCCTCGTCCCCCTCCTTGTCACTTGCACCCCATCCCCCTGCTTCTGCTGGTGTTGCTGCTGTTCCTCCTTCTCCTCCTCCTACTCTTCCTGTATCCTCCTCATTACCCCATCCACCACCCTCACTAGTACCACCACCCCCACCATCACCTTCACCACTCCCACCCACATCACCACCCCAACCATCGCCACCATCCATACGAGCACCAGTATCAGCAGCGCCACTCCCCCACTCGCCACCACGACCAATAGCATCACTGTTATCCGCACCAGCGGCAGCAACAGCACCACCATCACCATCACCCTCACCATCACCATTACCACCACCCCACCCACCATCACCATCCTCCCCACCATCAGCACCACCAGCAGCAGCATCAGCAGCACCAGCACGACCAACACCATCACTGTTATCCGCAGCAGCAGCAGCAGCAGCAGCAGCAGCAGCAGTAGTACCATCACCCTCACCCCACCCAACATCCCCACCTGCCCCACCTGCTGCTTCACACCCACCCCACCCACCACCCCCATCCTCCGCCCCCTCACTTCTGCCCCAACCACCATTCCCACCCTCCTCCCTCTCACTCCTCTCACCCCACCCTGCTATTGTTCCTTCTCCTCCTGCTGTTCCTGCCCCTGCTCCTACTTCTGCTGCTCCTTCTCCTTCATTCCGTGGCATCTCAACATCAGCTGCCCCTGATCCTCCTGCTTCCTCCCCCCATGCACCCGTCGCTTGATTCATCGCCACGTCACCAGCTCGCTCAACCGCCACGTCATCACCACCTTGCCACGTGGCATCCTTCTCGCCAGCCTGAGCCATCGCCACGTCATCACCATCATCTTGTGTGAGATCAATGGGCTCTGCCTTAGCTCGCAGAGGACGTCCTTCTTCTTGTCGCCCTCTCCTTCCCCTCCTCAGCCGACCACCATCACCACTAATACCACCAACGCCAGCACCAGCATCATCATCATCCCAGCCAGCCCGCCCAGCCTTCCCTGCAGCCGCCTTTTGAGGGCCTTCAGAAGTCGCAACAGCAGCAACACCACCATCAGCAGCACCAGCACCAGCACCAGCAGCACCACCATCAGCAGCACCAGCACCACCACCCGCATCATCATCGCTATCAGTAAGACCATCTGCATCCCATCCAGCACGCCCAAGCTTCCCTGCAGCCGCCTTTTGAGGGCCTTCAGAATTCGCAACAGCAGCAACACCACCATCAGCAGCACCAGCACCAGCAGCAGCAGCACCACCACCACCATCAGCAGCAGCAGCAGCATCAGCATCATTATCGCTATCAGTAAGACCATCTGCATCCCATCCCACACGCCCAGCTTTTCCTGAAGCAGCAACTAATCCCGCTCCTTCCCCTTCTCCCTCTCCTCCCATTCCTCCCCCTCCTTCCCCTTCCCCTCCTCCCCCTCCTCCTCCTCCCCATCCTCCCGCCCCTTCCCCCGTGCCCACCGCACCTGTCCCTCCATCCCCTCCCCATCCGGTACCCCCATCTCCCCCTCCCCCTCCCCCTCCCCATCCTTCCCCCACCTCTCCCCCTCCCCCTCCCCAAGCCCCGCCCCCACCGTCTCCACCTCCCCCCCAACCCCCTCCTCCGCCCCCTCCTTCCCCACTCCCTCTCCCCCACCCCGCACCACCTCCCCCTTCCACTCCCTTCCCTCCCCACCCATCCCCACCCTCCTCTTCCACCTCCATATCCCCCACACCAACTCCCAAACCAGCAGGCTCGGCAGCCCCGGGCCAAGCTGCTCCCACCCCCCCGTCCTGGCTCGGTTTGCCGAACCTCCAGGTCACTTCTACCTTGCCCCGAACAGCCTTGCCCTGCCAGGAGGCACACGAGAGGAAAAAAACAGTTGCACAACAGAGAGGAATATTGTCGAGGCCAAGAGGCATGATAGAACGGGAGAGCAAGCGTGAATGTGGCATGGGCGTGAATGTTGCATGGGCGTGCACGAAAAAGTTGACTTCGCGAAGGCAGGGCCACTGGGGGGCGATAGCTTGGACTAACGCTTCCGCACCCTTTCCTAGCAGCAAAACCGGCTGTATCTGAGTCACTTTTGAGAAATTTCAAACGCCACCCGAGCCTTGGCATAAGAACAAGACCATGTCTAGAAAGCTCAGCTCACTTCTTCTTCCACGAAGCTTCTGAAGGTGGTGCTGCCGAACAGCCCTCTGTCAACTGACGCCTGGTTGATTATTAGTGCGTCCTCCTGATGGGTGGTGGGGGAGGGAGGGGTAGGGATGGAAGGGCGTGGGGGGGGGGAGGAAGGTTGCAGTGCTTCAGAAACACCACCAAACAGCCCTCTGTCAACTGACGCCTGGTTGATTATTAGTGCGTCCTCCTGATGGGGCAGAAGGGAGGGGATGGGGTTAGACAGCAACAAACAGCAATGACATTTGAGGCGCCTCAAAACACGTTCTCTGAAAGTGGTGCTGCCTAACAGCCCTCTGTCTGTCGACGCGCTGATCATCAACCAGGCGTCAGTCGATAGAGGGCTGTCAATCGACAGAGGGCTGAAAGTGGTGCTGCCGACCAGCCCTCCGTAGACTGACGCCTGGTTGATGATTAGCGCGTCCTCCTGATGGGGCAGAAGGGAGGGAGGGTGAAGGAGAGAAGGGAAGAGAGGAGAGGAGTGAGAAGGAACAACAAAGGCATTCATTGAAGCACCCAAACAGCCCTCTGTCAACCACGCATGGTTGATGATTAAAGCATCCTCCTGATGTGGGATAGGGGAAAGGTCGGACGGCGTGAGGGGAGAGGGGGTAGCGGCAGAGAAAACAGCAAGAGTGTTGTGAGGCTCGTTAGAAGCCAAACAGCCCTCTGTCGACCAATGCCTGGTTGATTATCAACGCATCATCCTGATGGGGGGGATAGGTAGAGGGGGAGGAGGGGGAGGAGGGGGAGGAGAGGGGGGGGTGAGTTCAGCAATTCCACCATAGCTGTACCTGGTTGGATCTTGCACGCATGACAGCAACGATGGCATTCTGCCCATTGGATTGGCACATGACAAGCCAGGCCAGGCGGCCAGGCCCGTGGCTGAGGCAGTGCAGCAGAGGGAGAAACTTACCCCCATTGCACCCACTCAAACCCACCCGCACAGCATCAAGCTGGGCTGAATCTCGCAGCACCGCACTGTACCTGGTTGTATCCAGCGCTCATCACAGCAACCATTGCGTTCTGCCCATTGGGGAAGTCTGCCAGGCCCGTGGCAAGCTGTGCAATTCTGGAAGCCACGAGCGGCCGCTGCGGGTAGTGCAGAGCGAAGAGTGTGTGGTCGGAGCGATGGGGGAGGTTGTATGGCGGCATGCCCATGGCCTGTGAGGGAGGAAAGGTAGGAACGAGCAAAAAGGAAAAGTGGTATGGGCATGGGATGGGCAGGGGGCACTGGGGGTAGTGCAGAGTGAAGAGCGTGTGATCGGAGCGATGAGGGAGGTTGTATGCTGGCACGCCCATGGCCTGTGGGAGAGGAGGGTAGAGGAGAAGGGGGAAAAGAGGAAATAGGAAACGAACGAGGAATCAGGAGGGGCCGCTGGGGGTAGTGCAGAGTGAAGAGCGTGTGATCGGAGCGATGGGGGAGGTTGTATGGCGGCATGCTCATGGCCTGTGAACAGATGGGTGGGAGGGGGAGGAAAGGGGAAGAGAAAAGAGGAAAAGCGGAATGGGGAAGGGCCGCTGGGGCTGGGGGTAATGCAGAGTGAAGAGCGTGTGATCGGAGCAATGGGGGAGGTTGTATGGCGGCATGCCCATGGCCTGTGAACAGATGGGTTGGGAGGGGTAAAGAGGAAAGAGGAAAAGCGGAATGGCGAGGGGTGGCTGGGGGTAGTGCAAGGAGAAGAGCGTGTGGTTGGATCAATGGGGAAGGTTGTATGCTGGCACGC